TCTCTCCCTCTGAAATCAATAAAAATATATACAAACAAGCAAGCGCATGCCAACTCCAGGACGGCGGGCATGTTGATTTTTCCACTTGGCACTGCGGTGGGTGGTTTAGACTTCATGCCCAGGACCTGGTCTCATTTTCCTAGCAGTGGCCCAAAAAATCCTTTCCTTTAAGACAGTGGTTCTCAACCTTGGCTACACATTAGCATCACCTGGAAATCTTTTTAAAATCCTGATTTCTGGGCCTCACCCTCCGGAAATTCTGTTTCTTTGTTATGGGGTGGGGCCACAGCATTAGTAACAAAGAAACAGAATTTCCGGAGGATGAGGCCCAGAAATCAGGATTTTTAAAAGATTCCCAAGTGATTCTAATGTGCAGCCAAGGTTGAGAACCACTGCTTTAAGAAGACCGTCAGCCATGGAGTTACAATTTTTGTTGGACACGTGTTGGAATTGAGCTGCACCCTACTGATGCCTGAGAATTGCTCCTCGGTGGTGTGGGGACCCCCCACCCCCAACACAGTGAGGCTCATAGGTCAGTGCACTGATCTAAACAGTTTTTGGGGGGAAGATGTGAAAAAGCAGTAGAAATTGGAGGGTCAGAATGGGAAAGCAGCTGGAGGCTGAACTGTGGACCAGTAAAATAGATGAGGTCGGTCCCCTGTTTTTCATTTTCTAGGCCAAGGCACACGGCACACTGAGAGATTGGAAGCACTAAGTAAAGGGAAGTTCCATGATTCTGGAAAGACTTACTCCTCAGGAAAGCAACAAAGTTATCTGGACAGGCCAGTATCTGCTCATGCTATGACCTCAAAGATGAAATTTACAACCTAAGTAAAAATCCTGATTTGATAAGTTTTGGCCAATTTTGACATTTTATTTGCTAGGTGAAGCATTTTAGAGTGCTCAGTACGAGTCCACAAATCAAATTTTTGTTGTTGTTAATCCTCACCTGAGGATATTTTTTCCACTGATTTTTAGAAAGAGTGGGAGGGAGGGGGAGAGAAACATCGAGGTAAGAGATGCATCGATGGGTTGCCTCCTGCAGGCTGGGGCCAGGGATCGAACTGGTGACCCTTTGGTGTGCTCTAACCACTGAAAGCACTGGCCAGGGCCACAAACCAATTTTTAAACAAGAATTGGTGCCTTAATTTAGCCCAAGTTCTTCCTGGTCATGGTAGTTTGAAATACAAATTAAACCCTATTGCATTAAGAAGTGCTACTGAAATCTTTCGGCTGGCATGCCCAGGAATTAGAGAACCACTGGCTTAATGCAAAATGTTCACACCTCAGTTGTAAGCAACTAATGAGACATTTTATGAAATCTTTCTGAACACGCTTTTAGATTTAGGGAATTTTATTTTCACCTTCAGTCTATTACTTAAGCTCTTAAACCTGTTTTTTTTCTTTCCTCTCTGCAAAATGGAGAGAATAGTCAGTCCCTCACCACTGGGGCTGTGGTAAAGATTAAATACAATTATGCACCTGAGCTACTTTGTTCTAACTGGGTCACCCAACGAGAGGTCGTGGTCTAAAACCCAAAGGCTTGTTACTTTTACTTGACATTGCTCTTCAGCAGCATTTCAATGTTTTTATGAGGGTCATTCATGCTAGGTTTAAAAAAAGAACCAGAAGAGGGATGCTACCTAGGAAAGCAAATTACTTCCAGCATCTCTAGGTCTTCATCTTACTTCAATTTCATGTAGTCTTTCCTCGTAGGTGGTTATTTCCATTTTACAGATAAGGAAAATAGGACTCAAAGTACACAATCTGCAGAACACAGGATTAGATGCCCTCTACTGCAGCCAGAAACGAAAGGAACTTGAATGGAAACAATCCAAAGCTGGGAATAAGTTTTGTAGGCCTAGCCCAGGAGCACTTTTCTGAGCCTCCATCCGTACACTGAGAAGACAAACCTAAGGTATGTCTAGCCTGTGGAACTTTTAGAATTAAAAAGAAACATGCTAAGGAATACCACTGGATGACTTAGAAAATGTGCCAAGTTCCCAAGTACAAATCCTGTATTGTATAGAGTAACAAAGGAAAATTGCTATTTAATCCAAATACAACCAAGAGCCCATTCATAGTCCATTCTTGGTTTTTACCAAGAGGTGGATACAGGGGGAAAGTCCTTAACTGAGGTAGAACAGACTGTTTCAAGTAGCTCTGAGAGCTGCTTTTAGGCACCCACAGTTACCTCCACACACACATTCTTTTTTTTTTTTTTTTTAAATATATTTTATTGCTTTTTTTACAGAGAGGAAGGGAGAGGGATAGAGAGTTAGAAACATCGATGAGAGAGAAACATCAATCAGCTGCCTCCTGCACACCCCCCACTGGGGATGTGCCCGCAACCAAGGTACATGCCCTTGACTGGAATCGAACCTGGGACCCTTGATTCCGCAGGCCGACGCTCTATCCACCGAGCCAAACCGGTTAGGGCTCCACACACACATTCTTAAAAGTACTTCCAACCAGTTCTTGTTATAGACGCTAGCAATGTGGGAGAAATCAACTAGCCCATCTCTCCTTTCTCTCTGTAGTTTTGGTCTTCCTTCAGGAAATTTACACTGACAGTAACAATTTCTTAACAATAATAGGCATGGCTATTTGTTAATTCTATTATTATATTCTTTTGTCACCTAATAGTGAACCTCAAAGGCTTTAAACCTAGATAATTTACGTTTTTAGCATTAGCGAAAACCAAGGCTACAAGCATTCCCTCAATCTTTTTTGAAGCCTTAGATCTCTAGCTTTAGATTTGTCTTTAAAGCACAATGCTTAGCTCTAGCCTGTTTGCTCAGTGGTTAGAGTGTCAGCCTGTGCAGATTGAAGAGCCTCTGGTTCGACTCCAGATCAAGGGCACATACCTCGGTTGCAGGCTCATCCCTGGCCCCTGGGTTGGGGGCATACGGGAGGCACCAATTGATGTTTCTCTCTCTCTCCCCCTCTCCACTGTCTCTAAAAAAAAACAAACAAACAAAAATGGAAAAAATATCCTCAGGTGAGGATTAACAAAATACATACATACATACATACATACATAAATAAGTAAAAACAAGTACAATGACTAGTTTCCATACTTTAGGACTTTACACCTATGACTAACTGTGAATAAGTAGAAATTTGAGGGGGAAAATAGGAAGCAGAGAGTGAACCAGTGTTTTTGTGCTAATAGATTCACTAGTAATAATTAGAAGTGAAATAACATACCTATCCCAGTTCCCTAAACCTAATTATTCTATCTAGCCTTTACTCTTGCTAAAAACTTATTTTGCAAGGGGATTCCTTTGTTAAAATCCTTTATAGAAAGAATTACATATCGTTCCATACCATAATTAAGCTGCTAACCAAACCAAATGTTTTCTTCAGGGTCACAGCTATTCCCCAAGGTTATAAGATGGAATACTGTCAAGTCCTCAGTACATCTGCCTAATTCTCGGTTATTCACATTGCAGATTATCCTGTGTGGGGCTTCGCTCGCGTCCCTGGGAACACAGGCCCACGAGGTGCCTGGAGCCTCTCCCTCCACACTTCCACAGAAGAAAACTCAGGCACGAGGAAGGCAGACCCAGACTTAGAACTTGCTTAAAGTGTTGATCTTGGCTGACATTAATTTCCTCTGCCAAAGAAAGCCTTCAAAGTAGATTATTTTTAAGGTTTTGAAAGATCTTGACTCTATTGTGTGTAAAAGTTAAGAAATTCATATTTACTAGTTACTCATTTATGCTGGAATTGTAAATTCCAGAATACACCCAAAAAATTTACCTTCCATACTTGTGGAGGCTAATCCTAAAATTAGCAAGATGATTCTGGCAAAATAATTCTAAGGCAATGGTTTTGCCCACCTTCGAATCTATGTATTCCAGCCTTCTAGCCCCATCTAACACCAACAATGAAAAGATTTACTATGGGTGTGTAGTAAATACCTCTAAGTATTAAGAATGAATAGAATGAATAGAAAGATCTTTATTCTTGCTTGTTAAAAAATGGTAACAATTTACTCAGCCAGCATCATCAATTTCATCAATGGAATAAATATTTTAGTCGAAAAACCTTAGCAAATGAAAGTTAACTATAGAGATGGGAAATGTAGGCTTACAGTTACGAGTACATGAAAGAGTTTATTCTTGCAATATGTATTGTCCCATTTCCATATGGAACGTAAACCTACTTTTGCCCACCCCATACATGTCCTTTCCTATTAGGAAAAAAGTTCATTTTATATATTTGTTGATTAAAAAGAAAAATCCTCTGCCCTGGCCATTGTGGCTCAGTTAGCTGGAGTGTCGTCTTGTACACCAAAAAGTGGCAGGTTCCATTCCGGTCAGGGCACATACTGAATACGGTTATGGGTTCAATCCCCAAGTGCAGGAGGCAGCTGATTGCTGTTACCCTCAAAGAAAAAATCCTCAACAAAGGATAGAAACTAAATCATCTAAGTTGGACTCAGGGTTTTAGTTAACATATAAGAAGTCATTTATTGCCCTAGCTGGTTTGGCTCAGTGGATAGAGCGTCAGCCTGCGGACTGGAGGGTCCCCCAGGTTCGATTCCAGTCAAGGGCACATGCCTGGGTTGCTGCTCGATCACCAGTAGGGGGTGTGAAGGAGGCAGCCAATCAATGATTCTCTCTCATTGATGCTTCTATTTCCTCTCTTCCTTTCCCTTCCTCTCTGAAATCAATACAAATATATATTTTAAAAAGTAATTTATTATTTTATTTATAAGCTTGATAGTTATGATTTGTGGTCAACTATAAACGTGCAACTAAAAAAACACCGTAAATTAGCTAAATCTAATTTTACTATAATGTGACACCATTTAGAGGCTAAATTTAGATATGAACACAATCGACACATTAAACACTAACAACACGCTAAAAAAATCCCAAGAACATAGGTAGCTGGAGAGGGGAACTTTGTAAAAGGAAATATTCAATTTTGGTAAATAGTATCTTCCAGTCTAAACTAATGATTACATGAAAAACACCAAGGAGAATACATTCAAGTTAATGGAAACAAGTCTTTATTAAGTAACTTTTAATATCAGAAAAATAAAACTCTTATAATTCTCTTTACAGCAAATATATAATATCAGTGCTTTGGCCATCTTAAGTTAAAGGCCCTTTATCATAAAATATATGGTTTTAAACTTTACTCAAATTGAATTTATAATCCCTATAACTTCCCTACATATACATAACAAAAGAGTAGTAAAATTAGCAAATACTAAACTATATTGATAATTTATCATTCTTAGTTTGTGGTTTTAGAAACAGTACACGCACCTAATATATATGTCGATTCCTTGGCTTATTAGTTGCAGTGTACAATGCAACAAAATACAAAATACATGCTTGGCGAACATTCGTTCATATCTACAAGACGGCGCTAAGGATTAGGTTTTCAATACTGACATTTAACTATCCTACAAGCAATTAGCATTACATCATAATATGCCATCAAGGCAATTTTTTTATACTGAAAAAAATCAAAATAAAAACCGTTATTTGTAAACTTTTATACGAAATGTAACTCTTCAAGTGAAAATAAAAAATAAAATTTGTCTATGTACTATTCAATACACATAGGATTTCAATTTTTGTTATACTGAGAAAAAAAAAAGCTTTTTTTTTCGTTGGGAAAATAACGCATCAAAAAATAATTAGTAGAAAAACCCACCAGTATCATGTTTTGTCCTTTCAATGCCAGCATAGATTTGGGAACATACTGAGGATGAAGTTGCAGACATCCACAGGTGAAATGTAAAAGTATCTTAAATCTTCCCTTGTGATTAGAAATAGTTTTGAAATGAAGTAAACTGATTGGAGGTCATCACAGCTGCTTTTGTGAATTATACTAAGGGCATTATTCTCCCTCTCTCCCTCCCCCTTCCCTAAATTACTAAAAAATAAAAATATATTTATAATGTGCAAGACAAATATGGATTGAACATAAAATGTTTCACATTTTGATCTAGAGTCTAAAAATAATCAATAGCTTGATTAGACTAATGAATGGAATGTTCGTATCCTCAATTAGCCAATATAGGTGAATCCCAAAACCCTTCCTGAAATGGGAATACCCAGGTGGCCATTTCCACATTCACCGAGGGAGGCAATGGCTAGGAATTCACAATCCACACAATTGCCACAATTGCGTTCCTGATCCACTGATCATACCAGCTGGGCGAGATGAAGGTCAATGTAGCAGTTTTTGTCCCAAATTATAACCAGTGATTGAGTAAACTGCCACCAGCCCTATTATTACCAGTAATTAAGTCACAATGCACTAGAAAGGTACTTGCAATCCTGCAGAATTAGGCATAAGTTGCTGTAAAATAAAAAACAAACCTGTTTTGTCAAAACTGGCAGTGTAAAGAAGGCAGCCCTGGAAGTGTCTGAATCATCTGTAATGCCAAGTACCCTCCATAAACTCTTAATGTGGTTAGGCTTTGGGACCAGTTTTGAAATCTTAGACGTATACTTTTCTCGTAGGCTCACACAACCTGTGATGATCTTCACTCAAGCGAGTTGAACTTCAGCAATTCTTATACAAGCTATGTCTCTGGGTCTATAGGATATTAATAATTCAAACCAAACTAATAGACAAGAGACCACTTAGGTTTAGTGTTACCATAGCAGCCTTTTATAAGTTTACTAACAACTTTAGCCTAATCCCAATAAAGCCTGATAACAGTCATAAGAATTCATTAGGAAGTTTACTGGGGTACCATTATACCCATGCCTTTACGAGTCCATATAGAGATATAGTATTTATGTATATATATATAGTTAAGAGTGAATTTGGATTGCCTGAGTAACAGCTGTCTGGCAAACTGGACATGATGGCGTTCTCTTTTCACAGATCTTGTTGGCACATTCCATGCAGAAGAGGTTGTGGCCACATGGAACTAGGGCAGCAATAACTTCATTCTCAAAGCAAATCACACAGTCGTGCTTTCGTCTTGATTCTGGAGGTGAGCTAGAGGTGGAACCACCATTGGAAGAGGAGTAACTATTGGTACCATTAGAAAAAGCAGGGATGTATATTGGAAGGCCAACATGGTTGCCTGTACTAGGTGGGTCGCTCCTAACCCTCCGAGCAAGTGGGTGTTCAATGCTCTCAGGGAAGGTAGGAGACAGACGAGGAGTAGATGGCTGACTTCCTCTACGCTGAGTCTTCATGTTACCAGAAGGATCACTCCCGAAGCCGGAGAGTGGGTTAACTGGTTCAAATGGAGTCCAGATAGTTTGCGCGGATGTTGGTAAGGAGTCAAAGGCAGGAGAATCAACTGCGAGATCTTCTGAGCCTACAGATGGTAGCGCATCTCCAAACCAAAAGTTCCCTGTGCTGAATGGGCTCGTCGGACTGAAGTCAGCCAGCCTATTGCTTCCAAAGTAGGAATCTGTGGAACCACTTCCCAGAGAACTGGAGCTATCATTTCGATAATTGGAGATCATCCTTGCACGGCTAGGAGGAGCTGGATTGGAGGAGAGCCACGCAGAGCTAAGAGTGCCACTTTCAAAGCTGACATCGGTACCATTGTAATGGAAATCGTTCTCTTCATTGAGCTCAATATAGTTTCCTGTGCGCATGGCAATATGCATTTCTATTTCTTCTCGTGCTCGGTCAACATTTTCAGGCATCCCTGTCACTTCAAAGACAGGCTCCTTATCTCTGCTCGGAGTTACTATGTATGTGTGGGTCTGCTGCTGAATTCTTTTAATAGTTGCTCCTTTGGGTCCAACTACTAATCCTACCACACGATATGGGACCCTCACTTGAACGGTGGTTTGGCCGGGCAGATTAGGGCTTGACAACCCTCCCAGGGCAGGGCCGTTTTTGTTTCGAGATGCACGAATCATGGAGAAGTGCTCTGCAGCGGAGAGGATTTCTCTTTTGGCCATGGCGACATCTTCTTTCCGTCCCGTGACAACAAAAATGGGCTCTTCACCACGAACGGGGGTCTTGATGTACGTGTTTGTCTTGGCTCTCAGTGCTTTAATTTTACAACCTGTTAGAAAGAAAATATGTCATAAGAATCAGCATCTACTCAACAACACTGATAAAGACAAACCACAGAGTGCTCCTTTCGAGCTGAACATCTGCTCTGGGCAGCTGGAGCACTCTATCCAGCAAGCTATGCATGAGTAAACTACCAAAGCTTTAGTGGTTTACTACCCTGCAGGGTACTGGTGGCAAAGAAAAACCAGTCATCTGTAAGAACTAAATTATTATACTCCTTTTACTGAGAAGGAAAATAAAGCACAAAAATATTGTATAACTTGTCCAAGCACAAAAATATTGTATAACTTGTCCACGCTCACACAGCTAGTAAGTGGCAGAGCCAAAGTTAAACCTACTCTGACTTCAAATTTAACACAACTATACTATACGACACTTTCACTTCCACTTAATTATCATTTTAACATGACTCTTTCCTCTGTAAAGCTCAATTGATGACAATAGCAAAGTGCTCATGGCTAGTAGGTCATCTCCCGTTTGCTCCCATCAGTTGAATTTTTAAGCTTACTAAGTTTCACATAAATCAGTGAAATATGAATAGAAAAGACACTGTATTTGCATAAAAAGTCAAAAGGGTAAAAAAAATATAGAATAACGTTGTACTCACTATAAAATTCTTGCTAAATTCAAAATAGATATTGGAAACTGTATGGAACATAGGCATTGGATGTGGTTTTATTGACGAGGGACAATTCTGGTGAGCAGACCCATTCTCAAACAAAAAGCTTTGGCCCCAAAGCCTAAGTATATTTAAGTTAAAACATCTAAGACAATATGCCTAACTACACATGATTCTTTAATCAACTTTTTGGAGTATTCACCCATTCGAGTGCCAACTGTGTAAGATTAGAGGGCTTCAAACTGTAACTTAACATGTCAAATACACCACCACAGCATGTAGCTTTCCAAGATTTCTTAACGTGAAAATAGATTTATTCCCATGAACGTATCATGCCACTCCTAGTTCCTCAAATAAAGAAGTCAGGTGCTGTTGAAGATACTCATCACAATCTGGGCAAGTCTTTTTCTTAAATTTTCCCTTTTTAATTTTTTTTTGCCCCCAAATATATTCAAGATGTACTAAAGTCTTTATATACATCATTTTTAACTTCATAACTGCAACAGTTTTCCCCAATAGGTCTCCTTGCCTCCAGTTTGCCTCACTTCAATTCAATCTACAGTCAAATTATGCTTTCTCTAAAAAGCACATCACCTGATCATTCTTTGCATAAAGTGTTTTAATGGCTCCCCTTTACCTTAAATATGGCACACAAGGCCCCTCATTGCCTGGAACCTGAGTACCTCTCTAGCTTCATCTCTTTACCACTCTCTTTCCCATTCCCCCCGTAAGCTCTGCAGTGCGCGCTACCACATTAGACTCCCGTCCATGCACCCCTGCTTGCATGACTAGAATGCTGCCGTCCCCGCCTCTTTACCTCCCAGTTCTTACGGCTGAACTCCCACCAGCCACTCTGATTTTACTTTCGATGCCTCACCTTCTAAGAGGTTTGTGTGCCATTCCTAAGCATTCTCAAAGCACTGAGTGGTTTGACTGTAAGTATATGTCATGGGTGGCCATACATTTGTTGAAACAAAGATCACTGTTTTTCTATAGAACAATACTGGGCCTTTCTTATGCGCACTGCTTTGTAGCTAGTCATTTTCTGCTGAGCTTTTCAAGACTTTCATATTCTGGCCTCATACTACTAATCCAACCCTTCTGAAAGGAGTTGATTTTGCTGACTTCAATTATAACATAATCAACCTCCCTGCAACTTTCAGATCTCAACCACAAATGGAGGTCCTGTTCTTTCCAACATCTGCAGAACTCCGCAACTGCAGCTTTCTCGCTGCTGGGTCCTAGGTCTCTATCATGAAAACACTCGGAGAGTTAAGTATGTTACTGTAAAACAGGAAGTTTTTATTTATTATAAAGAGTGCTGCTGTAAATTGATCAGCCTAAGTATTGGCCCCTTTCCACGCTTAAGAAACTTTTCTAAATAAATAGTTCTGAGGCTATAATCAACCATCAGTTGCTGCTTAGAACACTTTTTGTTTAATACCTAGTAGGCATATTATTAACTAAGAAAATATGCTTACAGGCACACAGGACACTATCTGGCCTATGGTTAGATCTAATAAATAGGTGTTTAATATATGGCTCATTAGGAAGACAGAAGGTGAACATTCTGAGCATGGACTACTTCTGAGATGGGGGAGTAAGATAGGCCTCATACTGCCCCAAAGGGTCATGTGCATACGTTTTGCAGATGAGGGGAAAGTGATAACAGGAAGATAGCAGAGTCAGCTCATTTTAAGCTACTGCCAACAAAAAAAAAGTATTTCTTCTCTCTCTACAGTGAACCTCATCAATCATAACCTTGTTTCTACAGGAAATATTTAGAGTTCTAAACAACCAGCACACGATTTCTAGAATACATACATTCTAAAGGTGGGGATAATTAGAATTGGCAGACGTCTAAGTAGGTGACACAAACTAAAGTAGGAGGAAAAAAATCATTTTATTATTTTTCAGGTGGAGATAAAAAGCTTTTTTTGAGTATTTTAGATTGAGTTTGTACTTGAAAATTCAAAGATACTAAAAAATCATAAAAGAATATATAGTCTCAGAACAGCACAAAACTCAGAGCTATAAAAGTACTGATAAAATGCACTTTAAGAAAAATTGTTGCCTGGCAAAAGTCACCCATAACAAGGTTAAAACATTAATTATTTACAACTCATACTATAAATGGCTAATTTTTCTCTTACACACATACTCCACCCTACATATGAAAACACCAAAACCCAACAGAAAAACACCAAAACCCAACAGAAGGAAATACATAAATGGCTGAACACAAAAATTCCCATTTTCATATGAATTGAGGTATCATTTTCCACCTGTAAGACAGTCAAATATCAAAAACAGTGCTAGGAAGAAATGGGAAAAAGACCCTGGTTTAGCTGCTGAGAGAACAGACCGCCCAAGGGCACTTTGCAATGTCTATCAAAATTACAACTGCAGGTCTCCCTCTGCCCCTATAATTCCACTCGTAGAACTGATTCTGTGGAAATACTTGCATAAGTGCAAAATGACCTTTGTATTATATCGTGCACTATGGTTCGTATTAGTGAGAGGCTGGGACGGCCACATAATGGAGTACTGTGCAGTCATAAAACTGGTTGACTTGGGGGACAGCACAGGGAGGAGGCAACTTCCCTTCTACACCAATTTTTATAAACTTTGAGCCATACAAATGCTTAGTTTTTCAAAGGTATGATTAAATTAGAGTAATTAAATGAGCCCTCTCCAGTTTGGCTGTGGATAGAGCATTGGCCTGAGGACTGAAGGGTCCCGGGTTCCATTCCGGTCAAGGGCATGTGCCCGGGGTTGCGGGCTCAATCCTTAGTGGGGGGAATGCAGGAGGCAGCCGATCAATGATTCTCTATCATTGTTGATATTTCTATCTCTCTCCCTCTCCCTTCCTCTCTGAAATCAATAAAAATATATTAAAAATGAATAAAATGTTACATTTTATTAGACTTAGCATATCAATATATGCTATATACCTCGTACTGAGATTACTATATTTTAAATTGTATAAACAACAGGGTAAATGATTTCATATCCTCAAAGCTGAAAAAGCTTTTTAAGACGTAAGGACTAACAATTATTTTCTTACAACTACAGATAAAAATACCAAACAAGCTGTGTACCAGCCTATGTAGAGGTTAAGAACTAGAATCACATCAGCTTTCAGAGTTCTAATTTTATTTTGATTTGGAAGTAAATTCCCCAAATAAAAAGTCTCCAATTTACCTCCCTGATGTAAGAGGAACCCACTTCTCCTTTGTCTACCACTGTAGCTGGGGTTGTGTTTCACCTTAAAGCCCTGTAGCTGCAGCCAGAATTCTGGTCCTCTCACTCCCTGGAACAGCAGAGGTCCTGTCTTGCTTCTCAGGGTAGAGCCTCTCCTACCAGCTGCCTCAGCGATTCAGAGGGAGACTGGGTCCTCTGTGGCTGGGCGAGGACTTGAAAGAACGGAAAGGATGGCATCTTCAGTGTTTCTCAAACCACTATGGGTTTGCATTAGCAACTTAATGGGCTGTAATCACCATTAAAAAACAAACAAAAAGCAAAACGAAACCAAAAAACCAAGAACTCAATGTGTTCCAAATGTTTCAGTAAAATATGTGTACAATGGGCTTCAATGTAAAATGTTCTTTTGCTTGGGGGATGGGGGTCAGAAAAGTGTAAAACCATTAGACTAGATAAATCTTTAAGGCCACTTTTAAATTCCATTAAGCGTGTGGAAGGATGTACTTATAACAAAAGAACCAGATGAAGAATTAGTCTGCAACTTAAATGTAATTACAGTCCAAATCAATTCACATTAAAAATAGGAAGATTGCCGAAACCGGTTTGGCTCAGTGGATAGAGCGTCGGCCTGCGGACTGAAAGGTCCCAGGTTCGATTCCGGTCAAGGGCATGTACCTGGGTTGCGGGCACATCCCCAGTAGGAGATGTGCAGGAGGCAGCTGATCGATGTTTCTCAAATCTCATCGATGTTTCTAACTCTCTATCTCTCTCTCTCCCTTCCTCTCTGTAAAAAATCAATAAAATATATTTAAAAAAAAAAAAAAATTAAAAAAAAAAAAAAATTAAAAAAAAAAAAAATAAATAAAAATAGGAAGATTAACCAGATAATCTGGGCGGGCCTGACCTAACCATGAGTTCTTTAAGGTTTTCTCAGCTGGCCTCAGAAGTCACCTACCTTCTCCTAGATTGTATCATCTCTGAAACATGCCTTATGCCTGTTCCTCTTCTATCTCTGCTCAGGTATTTCCCTACATAATCCAGAACACACTCCTACTACTCCCCACCCCCTCACAGCTTCTAAGTAACAAGCATGGCCATTTGGAAAAAATGAGATTGTGTGTGTGAAAGGCTCTATGAGCTCAAGAATAATATAACCATAGGTAGGA